TCATTTCACTGCACCTGTGGGATTAGTTCACACTGCTTTCCCATGGAGTTGTCACTGTCTCGAATTGGTGAAGCTGGATTTCTCAAACTTTTTCTTTCTAGAAATCTCTTTTTTTTTCACATTTTTTAGGGGCAAAATTTTGTTTACTCCCTTCTACACTCATCTCCTGGGCGGCTGAGTTGCACAGAGGGAGCCTGTCAGGAACCTGTATGTATGAGGAAGGATGTTGGTGTGTGCTGGTCAGATACTGTATGCCACCTGCGTTTTGTCAGGAGATTGCTTGGGGGAAGTTGCCTTTCAACAGCTGACTCCTTGAATCAGTGCTCAAAGACATCTAGGATCTCCCAGTAATTGCTCTTACAGATAGAGAATGAAAAGTACTTGCAAAATGCCTGGCGCTCAAGTCTTCCTTGGCCTGGGAAAACCAGAAGCTCACATTCCAGTTGGGAGATTTCAGTACTAACTGGCCTCCCCCCACCCCTTTCTTGAAAGGTTAAGGAGAGGAATACAAGAAAGATGTATGTGCTGCTCTATTGTTCAAACTGCCTGGGACTGAGAAGGAACAGCTGCTGTCATGTACAAGAACAGACATCATCTCTGAGCCCCCGTGCCTGCTACAGGAATGTATCTGCTGCGAGTATTTCACAGGGCTTCAGGTTTCCACCCACCTTGGTGTATGAGCCTTGCGTTTGCTCAGAGCTGGGTGTAGTTAATGGACGTTGAAGGTGTGTTACCCTCTAGAGGATGCATCAAATCGAGAGCTGGAAGACATGGGTCTATCACAAATCTCATATGAGGCTGATCTGCACTTCTGTTCGGATGGGCCATTCGTTAAGAGTCTGGACTTCAGCAGAGAACTTGTTTCGGCATGTTTTTGTAGAGCATTGAGGTCAGCTGTGCCTTAGCTAATACGAATAGCAAGACTGAGAAGCTGAGGCCTGCAGATTTGAGGGGGTGACTCTGCAAAGCATGGAAAATCAAGTGGGTGGTGGAAAGTGAGCACGATGTGGTCATTGTCTGTCTTGCATTGACCATTAGACTAGAACACATGCAGAGGAGGAGAAAGAGGGATCTCAAAGGATTGAAGTTATTTCTTGTAGAAAATGAATCTTGTTTTTCCAGCTTTGCTGGCTGCAAAAGAGCTGTGTCATGCAAGAGTCCCTCCCTGAATAGAAGCAACGCAAGTTTACAGTCCTTTCAACAGCAACTAGCAGTAACCAAATAGCAGGGGATGGGAGTCTGGGAAGTCAGTTCAGTCACTACCGAACTCCTGATGTGGAAATAGTAGAAATTCTGGTAGGGATTAAATATATTATATAAACTGGCTTATGCCTTTTTTTGAGGGATGCATAGACCTACTTCTCCAGAATCGCTGGTGTTTGTTAGCCATCCTATGAGCTCAAAAGCAGGGATATAGCTCTCCAATTACACGTTGCAGGAACTTTCCGCTAGGGCCAATTGGTGTGGAAATTGCCACGTGTCATTAACGCTCTTACAGAGCAGTCAGGTCCTTCAGTTCTTTAGGTATCGCCTAGATCATCTCTGTGTGGAGCAACCTTTACGGAGTTTAGTGTATCTGCTCTGTGAATTTGAAAGGTCAAGTCGACCTGTGGCTCCAGAGAGTCTACAAGGTGAAAACACAAGGTTTGGGGAGGCAATGAGCCTTCCCTTTTTAAAAGAACTGAAAATTGGAGAAAGGAGATTATAGAACCTAATAGTGCGTACCTAATTTTTGGGAGCATGGACCATGACTGTGACTACTTGGTCAAAACCAGTCTTGACTTGTCCATATGGCAAGGTGTGTCCTTCAGGCAGAAGAAAACATGTAGGCAAGGGATGTGGACCTGAAATGGTGCCCGTGTGTACGGCCAAGAGACAGATTCAGCTGTAGCTGGTACTTGTACAAGTATTTTGCATGAAAATATCCATTACGTGTGGAGTCACTGAATGTAGAAAATCAGTGCCCGCTGTTAGCTATGGTATTGCTGCCCACAAGGGTGCATCTTTGCCCTTTTGTTGGAAGGAGCTGAAAGGTTACTGCTGGGAAGAGCATAAGGTATGGGGTGGTAGGTCTGTGCTTACCTCCTGGTGAAGGGCAACAAACTCCACAGAGCCCAAAGAGCAACGAGGTGACAGTTAAACGGGTTGAGAGGTGATAGGATGGCTGGTGGGCCTGGCAAGTGGTTTCCCTGGTCACCTGTTTGCATGACCAGATGATGCAAATCCAGTTTGAGCAGCATTTTTTTCTGTAGCCTAGATGATTTTTGAGGGGTTTTCTAATTTATTTTTTTTGCTAGGTGCTTTTCTTTTGGTCTTAACCAGCTTCAATATGAAGGGGGCAGCAAATTCCCTGAATCCAGCATG